CCCTCCCCCTTCCGCGTCAACTCCGCCTTTCGGGCATTCCTATATTGCTCGTTGTCTTTTCTAGGAAAGCGAGCGGACCCTGAAGTGTACTACTTCCTACACCTGCAACAGGGAATCCTGCTCGTGTACCTGTCACTCCTACTGCTCCTTGTGTCATAAACATTCCTTGTTGTCCTACTGCAACTCCAACTCCTTGAAGACCTGATGTAGGAGGTGCTCCAGATCCTTGTTGCACCTGCAATTTTACATATATTTTTTTCATAATAACCTTATTATTGTTAATGAAATTCTTTTTTTTTTTTTTTAATAAACTTTTATTATAAAGAATGATGCTGAATGAAAATTAAGCAATTAAAAAAGTTAAAAATAGCAATGATATTACTAACAGATAATAAATTTTAGAAATGCTGCGTATACACATGCAAGATATTTAAGTAAATAGATTTATAAAAAAAATAAAGAATTTAATTCTTACAAACCAATAGGATATATTAGGAACAGTAATTATATAGACAAGGGAAATGAAAGAAAGTACATTTTTTGCCATGAATAAAGATTTATTCTGCAAACATGATTTGCATGTAAAAATATAAATAAAATGGCATCATTTTTTTGCAATGATTCAATTTATGAATGCTGCAATATTTTAAATTAATGTAACTTTAAATATTATATAAAAAAAATACATATCAACATTTTTAAATGTTAAAAATAATAAGAAAATTAATAAAATTACTTTCTTAACATGTAGCTTAATATATATATACATATATATAAAAAATATATATATATGTACACATATTTTTTTAATTTTTTTTCTTGATAGCTCTTAACATTGATGCATACATGCATACATGTTTACATGCAAAAGATATTCATTGTATTGTAAACAAGAAAATTTATGAATATTAAATGATATGTAAAATTTATAACAATTTTTAATATATGAAATATAAATAAATATTCTATGTTATATAAAAAAAATGAAAAAAGATGTTAAAATATTATAAACGAATATGTATACACATATTTATGGATACATATTATAATTTTGAAAAATTATAATGTGATATAATTGACATAACACTACCTGCTCCTAATATATTTATAGGTAGTAGGGATTATCAGGTTTTCTATTAATGTTAAGCAAATGTGATATGCTTATTTTTTTTTTTATTATTACTGTTATCATTTATTATATCAGTTTTTGGCTAAATATTTGTACATTTTAATAGCAATTATTTTGGCACCATTTTACATATTTTGTAAGTATGTATATTTGATACTTTCCTTTTCCATAAATGAAATTAAATTTATTTTTATAATTTTATATCGCAGCTACTAATAAAAGCACTTGAAATTTTTAGTTCTTACAGATTACATTTCTGTTGATAAGAATTATAAGGCACTGTTATATGCAATACTGGTATACATTGCTTTTGTGCAATAGGACTGAATGGTTTTGTATCTTAAGTAGTTATTTAAAAAAAAAAGAGCAAAAATAGTTTTTAAAATTTTGATAAGTATTTCAATCATTACATAACAGTTTAATCTATTTGTATTTTATACATTCACACTCACATGCATACACAGAAACATTCAATCATACAACATCAATATTCATTCAATGTTTTAAATTGTAACAAATAATATAAAAATCTAATAATAATAAATATATCATTTTGAAATAAGAATATTACAGTGAGTATAAATAAGCTTGTGATATATGCATAACTGCAATACTTTTTTAATTAAGTTCAGTAATTTATATTAGTAATGTTTCAATTTACAACTAAAATGAGTGAGTGAGTGAGTGAGAGAGAGAGAGAGAGAGAGAGAGAGAGAGAGAGAGAGAGAGAGA